AACTCTGGAACCTGACGTACGTCATGAGGGCGGGGAAATATTTCGTATGGCACCTCTTACGCCTCACCGGCCTACACAACAAGACTAACAGACAGTCGAGAGAGAAGCGGCAGGTACGTCTTGGTTGGGAGTTCCACGGAGACCTAGACTTCTGGAGATGGGCGCTGGAAGTTAAACTCGGGGAGAAAGGAGAGTCACATAGCGCGTTTTTCTTTAACCACGTCCAACGCACGCCTCTCTGTCACTACCTATCGAATGCTAGCTTCGACGCGGTAGGCGGACACTGTCCCGAATTAAAAGTGTTCTGGCGGTATCGATTTCAACCCGCGTTTACCGCGGAGCTGAAAAGGAAAGCAAAAGCCAAAGAAACCAGCGCAATCACGATCAACACGCTAGAATTGCTCGGGATGATAATTACATGCTGGGTGGTCCAAATGGTTGTGGGAGAAAAGCCGACGCAACCCGGACAAGCTATCATGATGAGGGGAGACAACGTGTCGGCGGTATCATGGGTAAACAGATGCGGGGGCTCGAGAGATAGGCGAGCGAGACTGCTCATGAGACTGCTTGGTCGTATGGAGATTGAAAACGGATGGTGTCACGTGGCGAAACACATCCCGGGACGCGAGAATACCCTCGCGGACGGGATATCTAGATGGAAGTCAGAGGACGTAAAAGTCAACGTGGAAAGACTCACGCACCACGATAACTGGCGAATGCAAGACATCGGAGACAACGGAAGAGAACTAATTGAAATGATACTGCAGGAGAAACTCCCGAACCAAGGAATGGATGGCCTCGTGTGGAGCCGCATGGCAAGCGTGTAAAGAGAAGAAGTGATGAGAGAATGATCAGCAAAAGAACTAAAAAAAAGGTGTGTTGACTCTAACGTGTTCAAGCGCAGGAAGCGAACACGGGACGAAGGGAACGAGCGATGAAGGCGAAAGGCTCCTCAGGATTATGGAGCACGGCTCCCTCAACGCGAGCACGCTGAAGGGATACCACAGCAAGTGGGACACGTGGACAGCTGAAAGAGCTAAAGCGAATCTGAGTCCATGGTTGTACGAAGAAGACGGTGTGGATAGTGCAGTGAGAGAGCTGACTGTGTTGATGGCGTCGAGGTGTTTAGGGTTCAAGAAACAGAGCCAAACGGTGAAGGGGTAACTCGCGGCTATCAAGTACTTCCATAAACTGTACGCAGGCTGGGAGCTGCCCACGTCTCACTTCAGAGTGGTAGCTGTTGGGAAGGCAATAGACAGACTGCATGCGAGGGCAGAGACGAAACCGTTGGTAAGGCAACCGCTCACCGTGCCGATGATCATTGCTGATAGAGAAAGAGCGCAGACGAATGCTTTCGGACTAGTGACGTGGATGGGGATCGCTCTCTCATATTTCTTGCTGTGCCGAGCGTCTGAGCTGTGGGCCTACCAGAACGGCTTAGTACACGCCGATTTTTGTCTCACGAGAGGGAACCTCGTATTCTTCGAAGGAGCGTGTCGGCTAGCGTGGAACGAAAGAAGGCGGGCAGACAGAGTAGAAGTGACCTTTCGCGCGTCGAAAGCGGACCAAAAGAGGCGAGGCGCGGTAGTAACGAGAGAGATAGTAGTGCGGGACGAGGAAGGGGGACAGATGGCTGAGAAGATGGGGGCGCTAGAGATCTTGCTGAATCTGCTTGACGTGCACCCAGAGTTAGGAAGTAGCGCGCCGCTCATGCAGTCGGTCAAGCAGGGACGGTGGGCAGTGGTGTCGAGGTCGGGAGCAACGACAGTGTTGAGAGACATGGCGAGAAGAGTAGGAGAAGACCCAACGCACTTCGCGCTGCATTCAGGGAGGATAGGTGGTGCGACGCAACTAGCAAAGCAGGGCGCATCGGTTGTTCAGATTCAGAGGGCGGGGAGGTGGAAGTCAGGAGCCTTTATGACGTACATGAGGGCAGGAGGCGAAGGCGCTAATAATGTATCGCGTGCACTAGCGTCTCTAGCTGAAGGGGAGAAGTAGCGTGGAAAAGAGCGCCGGGTATCGGGCCGCGCAATGGGATATGACCTGGGCATAGACGTCGGGTTGGCCCGATAAGTGATACCTAGTGAGTCCGAGAAGAAGTCAATGGTTCGGCTCATAGGTTGGATTTTGGTTTTGATATTTTTGGGTTCCGGCGTTTCTGATTTCTTGTCGCCTTTTCTAATAATCCAAATTTCTTGAGCGAAACACAAAAGAACATTAACATTTCTTGTGTTGTGACCAAGATTGAGCTCTGTCAGCCTCTACCGTAGATAATTTTCGGAGCCTTTTTTGTTCCTGAATTAAATCGGCCCGTTCTGTACAGAAACACAGAGGGTGTTGGTGTGGAAGTGATATTTTCAGACCACCGTGGTGCGTGCCAAGTACTATACAAATGGTGCTGGCGTGGGGTAGGCTCTAGATTGGTGATGCTTGGAGTAGCCCAGTTTAGGTCGGTGTTGGGTTTTGTGTGGTAACCGGTGTTAGTGCCTGGTTGGTGCAGCAGGTGCGCTGCAGCAGTGTGCATTGTGGGTCTGCATTGGCGGGACTGTCAACGGCGTACCAAATTTTACAGCAGCTGCAGGGTAGATTTGGTTAGGGGGTTGGGCGACAGAGGCGCGACGAGGAAGCGGGAGGCGGGGCACCGATCTTATGTTTCTCGCGAAGAGAAGGAAAGCGGCCACTTGCCTTCTGCATACCACTGATGTGTCGATGGGATGGACCATCTATCTGCAGGCACTGGCTTGCTACCCACTTACCAGGGAAAATCTGGCGCTTCTAACAATTGCGAGACGATGGGACAGACGTAGGGAAGAGCAACAGACTCGTGCAATGGATGTGCACGCACTTACCTGTGGACAGCCAATCGGTCGACGTGTTCTAGGTGAAGCAACCGGCCCACATTAGACTATAGTAGGTCAGGCAGGGAGATCCTTTGCTTGGCCCAGCCTAGCGTTGCTCGAGACAAATCCCTTGGCTCAAGTTGCTTGTTCTTCCGCCGTCCTCCCTTCCTGCCTTGGTTGCGTTGTGGCCACTGCAAAGCTTGGTGCCGTTTTCCCAGCACCTTGATTCGCCCCGCGACAGAGACCGAGCACTTGGACTATTTTGTTTAGTCTAGCCAGCTTGGTGCTTGGTTGTTAGAACGTGCTTTTCTTGTCGGGAGTCACGCTTGCTGCTCCTATCTACCATGCACGCCCGCAGTTTGGCGGATCCTCGAAGCCTGCTCTCGACAATCGAGGCTAGGCTTAGGCCCATTCTGCGGGCATAGCTTTTAGCATAGATGGCCCTTTTGAGCATAAGAAAAGCATAACTAAAAAGGAGCAATTGTTGTTGTTGTTGTTGTCTTCACATTAAAAACCATCCCGGTCTCTCTATCCAGTACCTCCTTCTGTCTCAATCTCTCCGTACTAATCCATCACTTGACTCGGCCAATTTCCGTGGTCACAGGCTAACGTACCTAGAAAAGGTATACCAAAATAAAATGGACCCCAAGGGTCAGCAGAGCGATAAAATACAAGAAAACAAANAAAGACAAAATAAAACAGAATAAAGCAAAGACAAGGACATACCCTAACCCTAACAAACTCGCACAGAGACAGGGATATCCCTAGAGACAGTCTGAACGCGA